CGTACCGTACCGTACCGTACTGAAGAGACTTCTTCAGTCTGAGTGCAGAGAGTCTGAAACTCTCAGACTGAAGAAGTCTCTTGGAAGAGAGACGAAACGTTTCATTAAAGAAGAACCCGTCCAGAGGACCTATACAATTTTTTTTTCCTTTATAGATTTTCTCAATCAAATTTTATTTTGCTGAGATTTATTCAGCACATCAGCTATGCTATTTTCTCCAAAGTGCCAGACATATTGTAGAGTCATTTTAAAATGTTTGTTTCAGAACCACATCCGACACCAATTGCAACCGCGTGGGGTTGGGGGTGGGGATGGTGTGCAGCTGGCACATCGCTCTTCTTCTGAATAAATGAAAATTGTTTTATACACCTATTTACACTTGAATTAAAAATATTTGACCAAAGGAAAACAAGAGCAGGACTAGAGAGAGATGAATATGATTTAGATTTTTATTTCTGTGACTGTAAACGACCCACAGGAGACACGACATTAACAGCAGACATTTTGTTCCTCTGCTTTAGCAGGTCCTTTAATTCCACAAAAATTCCTAAAAAATGACAGATTTTCTTTTCTGGATCCCTGAGAGCAGAACTTCAATCCTCAAACTCACAGTTCTTTTCACTTTTTGCTGTCATTTTCATGAAAGGACACTTCCTGGTGGACTACCATCCGGGAGGGACTCAGAGTAGAGCCGCTGCTCCTCCACTTCGAGAGTAGCTGGTTGAGGTGGTTCATCTGGTTAGGATGCCTCCTGGATGCCTCCTTGGTGAGGTGTTCCCGACATGTCCCATTAGGAGGCGACCCAGAGGAAGACCCAGGACACGCTGGACGGACTATGTTTCTCAGCTGGCCTGGGAACACCTTGGGATTCCCCCAGAGGAGCTGGCCCAAGTGGCTGGGGAGAGGGAAGTCTGGGTTTCTCTGCTTAGGCTGCTGCCCCCGAGACCCTATTCTGGATAAGTGGCAGAAAACGGAGGGATGGACACTTTCTGATATCTGGGGCAGGAAACATATCCTTATATGGTGTTTTTGGGGTGGTAATTCTGCTAATCTCCTCTCGTGCACGAGCACCTGGATACCAACAGGTGGCATTCATCATGTTTACGCTCCTCATTTACACACTCTTCCTGAAGATAGAAGAGTTTGTTGAATCTGACTGACATGTTCGTACGAACAAAAGTAAGAGAAATTTAGGATAAGAATACAAAAATGTTCTTGCATGCGGCCCAATGATTCTACTACAAAGATGGAGTGGGATTAGCATTATCAGAACGTATAAACAGACACCACCAGTACCCGAAAAGACTAAAATACTGCTTGTACTACACTATACTGCTAATAAATAGTTTTCTAATTAATGTAGGTCATGCTTCACAAACCTAAAACCACTGTAGAAATGGCCTGCAGTGTGAACGTAGCAGAAATGTCATGTTGTGTTTTACTAAATGTTTTAGCTGTAGCTACAGTGTAGCTTACCATCATCAGTGTGTGTATGATTGTAAAGTGCTTTGGAGTCCAACAGGACTGGATAAAGCTCTATACAAGTTAAGGCCATTTGTGATTCAGACCAGGCTTGTTAGTTGATAAGAGGTAAATAATGTTTTTATATTAACAAAATGTTTTTTGTTTTTCCCTTCCACAGACACAGTGATAAAGTAGTTTCCAAACACCACCGTGTCTAAAGTAAGAGCCCTCATTCGCAGAAAACAACGAGGCCTACTCAAAGAAAACTGACAGCTCCCCTGTTCTCTGAAGGACAAATTGTGAAGTGTTTTGTTTAAATGTTTGGTTTATATGGTTTTATGCTATTTTTAATGTAAAGTTTGAAAAGAAATGCACTTTAGTTATTTCTGTATGTGTCCTGATGCAGCTCAGTAATACAGGTAAAAAATCAAAAGGAAAAAAATTGTATAGGTCTTCTGGACGGGTTCTTCTTTAATGAAACGTTTCGTCTCTCCTCCAAGAGACTTCTTCAGTCTGAGAGTTTCAGGCAAAATTCAGGCTTTTAAGCACTGCCTCCATGTGACTGATACACCTATTGTTAACGGGGTGGAGTGATACTGGCAATAACAGCACTGTAGGAGGGAGGCAGTGCTTAAAAGCCTGAATTTTGCCTGAAACTCTCAGACTGAAGAAGTCTCTTGGAGGAGAGACGAAACGTTTCATTAAAGAAGAACCCGTCCAGAAGACCTATACAATTTTTTTCCTATTGATTTTTTACCTGGATTACTGAGATGCATCAGGATAAAATTGTACTTCTTTGCTTAAAAACCTCATTACACGCTACACATTTTAAAATGACTGGAACTAATCATAAAAATAGTTATTTATGCACTCTAAAAAAGAAGTGTTGGATTTACTTAACCAAGTTATATCAACTGGTTCCTCTAGAGCAGTGGTTCCCAAACTTTTTATCTTCTGACCCACAAAATATCCATGGCAAAAACCTGTGACCCCAAATATTAC